TTACCATCCATGTCAGTCTTCTTTTTGAAGACCCATTTGCACCCAATGGGTTTGATCCCTTCGGGTGCATCAACCAAAGTCCATACTTGGTTGGTGTACATGGAATCCATTTCGGACTGCATGGCTTGACGCCATTCCTCAGCCTCGGGACAACTGATTGCCTCGAGGTAGGTCTCCGGCTCATCCTGGTCGATAAGCATTACGTCACCCTCAAAGGTTAGGAGGAATCCATACCTTTCAGGTTGTGTGCGTAACCGGTTAGACCTACGGGGTTCTTGTGTATCTTGAGCATTTTGAGGTACAACGGTTTGTTCCTCTAGCTCATGTTCCAGAACCAGCGCGGTAGTTTCTTCGTCGTCTCGAATTTATTCGAGCTCTATCTTTCTCCCAGTAGTTGTGTTGGAGAGAAATTCCTTCTCGAGGAAGACACCATTGCGAGCAACGAATACCTTCTTATCTATATGTTCCGATTGCCAAAGCTGCAACATGTGCACCATTGCTGACTCGGAGTTCAATCTCGCCTCGAGCTAACCATCTACTCTGCTTTAGTCCCTGCATGGTAGTACAGATATGAAACCCACATCCAGTATCTAGTACCCATGATGAAGATATAGACATGTTAACTTCTATCACATACACCTCAGAAGAAATGGTCGTACCTTCCTTCTTCTTGGTTGCGAGGTATGTCTTGCAGTTTCTTCTCCAGTGGCCTGCCTTACCACAATGATGACAATTGCCCTTTGCAACTCCTCCTACGGGTTTCTGGGTTGCAGATGAAGTGGACTTCGATTTAGGCTTTCCGGCCGTCCTAGCCTTAATCTTAATCCCTTTCTTCGGCTTCCCCTTTCCGCCTTGGACCATAAGGACGGAAGCACCCTTGCCCTTAGTAAGGTTCTCCTCTACAGTCTGGAGCATTTTAAGAAGCTTCGGAAGCGGTTTGTCAAGATCATGCATCATGTAGTTCATGACAAAACCCTTATACAGCTCAGGGAGCGACTGCAGGATCAGGTCCGTTGCCAGCTCCTTCTGCAAGGAGAACCCGAGTTTCTCCAGATTGGTTATGTAACCAATCATTTTGAGAACGTGTGGACCGACCGGGTTCCCTGAAGAGAGCTTGCAACTAAAGAGATCCTTACTCACAAGAAAGCGTTCATGCCTGGATTGCCCCTGGTATAGCTGCCGCAAGGCCACGATCATCTCGTGGGCCTTCATGTCCTCGTGCTGTTTTTGCAGCTCGGTTATCATGGTTGCCAGCATGACACAGCTAACCTGGTTATCATCCTTAACGTGTTCTCGTAGGCATCTTTAACCACTTTCGGGGCGTTAGCGGGAGGGGCAGGAGGAATGGGCTTTTCGAGCACATACTCTTTCTCATCCATGCGGAGAACAATGGAGAGATTGCGTTGCCAGTCAACAAAGTTTGTTCCGTTCAATTTATCTTTATCCAGAATGGAACGCAGGGCGAGGTTGTTTGTGTTGTTGTTTGCCATCTACAGAATTTTGCGAAGATAGTTATTATCATGAATTAAGTATCTAATAGGTCTTTATTAAATACTCTCCCACTATTTCTAACAAGTCAATTACCCTCAGGTACGGAACCTATTGACTTGGGGT